CTATTAACCACGAGCAGTTTTCTTTTGCCTGAATCCCCACCCCCCACTTCACATGGGGCTGCCTGCGAACATGACCTTCTCTGCCTGGGTCCCTCTCTCGTCTCCCTGCCTTGTTTGGAAACCTTTATTTCAAGGCTCTGCCAGCCTCTGTGGAGCCCCAGGGAAAGCTGAGCCCTGGACATCTTCTGCTGGGACATTGTTCTCTCCCAGCTCGCAAATATTTATTTTTCTTCCATACAAGTAGTACTTAGGAGGCTTGTCTTATAATTGCACAAATTGTATGTTATGAAATCAACAGCAAAGGCAAATTTTCCTGGAGACAGTTTTCCTGCCCCCATGTTTTAAATAAGACCCAGAAATCATTGTTTGTAAGACAGAATATAATTTTTACTTATGAAGGAATGTTAGTGTCTTTGGGGAACTAACAGAGTCTAAAATGGGCTTCAAACAGGCTGCCCTATGTGCCCGGCTCAGCTTTGCTGCCTCAATGGCTGCTGGGTATTGTGTTGCCAGAAAGACTACTTAAGGCCTTGATTAATGTCACAAAATGTTAATGAGGCAATATTAATCACTATAGAAGTTTACTTGTCAAAAGAAAAAGGGCTGGGGGAGACAGACACTGTTACACGCTCCAATGCCTCTTTTTTTCCTTTCTTCTTATTTTAAAATCATTCTCAGGACTAAAAGGGAATTCATCTCCACTCCCACAACTGGGTCACTGGCTCTACTAACTCCAGCAGGTGAGTCTCAGCTAAGTGAAATTGTTCTGCAGGTCAGCACTTGTCCCAGAACTATCTTATCCTACATTTGACCTGCCCCGTTTGTTCCTTCCTGTTCATTGATTCCCGGTGTCTCCAAGGTAAAGAAATCAAACAGGAAGCTGGGAAGGGAAGAAGTAGTGAAAGATGAAGCCGAGGTTTTTCAAGTGTTCTGTGCCTGTCTTGGAAGCAGAAAGCAAAGACAAGCTCAGAACTTGCTCGGTGTCCTGCCGGACTGAATGTCAGGCTTAACTTCTAGTGGTCTGGAGCGAACGCGTTCATTACATACCAGTTCCTCCCAGAATGTTACATTGTTACCTTTATTGGGATGAGAGTGTTTTGTCCTTATTAATTCGTGTTGACTTAATGTAGGGAAATCATGCAAACAACAATGTAACTTAATAAAATGAGATACACTCATGGTAAAGCCTTCCCCAGTACCCCATCCGAAGGGTTTTTTTGCTGTTTGTTTTTTTGGTTTTTGTTTTTTGTTTTTAGACAGGCTGGCCCTGGACCCACAGCACTCTTCCTTTTTTGACCTCCCATGTGCCAGGGTTAAAAGCATGTACTATGCTGGTCATCTAGGCTGCTTTTCTGTTATTGTTGTTTGTGTTTTGGCTTTTCAGGGTTTGTTTTTTTTTTTTTTTTTCTCTTGCAGTGCTGGGGATCGAATCCACACTTCCACATATGAAGCAAGTGTCTGAGCTACAACCCAAGACTCCTGTGTTAGATTTTCCTTTTGCATTATGTTTGCAATCTGTTTGGTTTTGCTTTACTTTTTTGAGACACGGTCTCCCCGTGTAGAGTCACCATCCTCCTGCCTCGGCCTATGACCGGCTATTTCACGGTCTTTTATCCTTAAAAGTCTTTTGAGACAAGGAGGCTAGGGAGATGGAGCAGAGGTGGAGAGCACTTATTGCTCGCCCAGACGACCCGAGTTTGTTCCGTTCCCTGCAGCTCACAACCCCCTGTGACTCCAGCTCCAGGTGATCCAATTCCTCTGGCATCCGTGAACAATGCACTCATATGCACGCATTCACACAGAACGTCTTAAAAAGGTTTGTAATGAACTTTTGACTTGTTTGTGTTTAGAAACTAGTTAGGCATCCTTTTCTACCCAATACTCTTTAAAACAGATAGAATTAACATATCAGTTTCACTGCTTGTCCTTTCATCATTTTAGCCAATTAAAATATTAAATATTAACTAATAAAGCATTAAAATAATAGGTATTCCAACCTGTTAAAAAGCTCTCAATACCACCCACGAGCAAAGAAGAATGTCTGAAAATTATGGGGAGCAGCTAGCATGCTGCTCTCTCGGGTGTGTGTCAACTCACCCAGCACTAGGCGGACACTTTTATTTAAAACACAGATAACTGAAGCACATGGTGGCTAACACCCACTGCCCATGCCTTTTCAGCAAGCCCATGTTTATCTATCCTCTCCAGACTTCACCAACAACAGAGCGGGCAGCTGGGTGACATTCCGGACTCCCCATGGGAACCCAGCAGAGACTTCCTAAAGTCACATGGGATTGGAGTCTTCCTAAGCCCTATTTCCCTGGACTTTTGCCTCATGCTTCCAATGGCTTGCCACTTAACTTTTTGTTGTTGTTGTTGTTAGAAATGGATAATAAGGTTTTCAAGCCATTCTACCCGTTTTCCCCAGAGAGTTTCCAATTATCATAGTTTATCATTATAAACCCAGAGAGCAGAAAACACAGAGACGGTCCATGCCACCGGTTGCTAGGCGCCTTGCTCTTTGGCCCAGTGGGCACGTAGTACCTTACTGCTCCCACATGGATCTAATAGATGGCATTGCGAGAGGGTCCACAGTCACATGGCTGTCGCTTCTGAAATCAAATATCTCAAATCAGCTGTGTTCTTCCATTTCAAACCTGGCATATATGCATAGGAATGTGGGTGCCCACAGAGACTGCCCACTATCTGTCCCGTGGGATCAGAGTTACAAGCAGCTGTGAGCTGTCTGACAAGGGCAGTAGGAACTGAACCCCCAGGCCTCTGCCATGTGGCAAGTGTTCTTAACCACTGAGCTACCTTTCCCGACCAGGTTAAATGACCAGTTATACAAAAGCTGAGCCTGAAATACACACACACACACACACACACACACACACACACACACACATCTGCTGTAGGGCTGGTGTGCTGGCTAGTTTCATGTCAATTTGACATAAATGAAAGTTACCTGAAAGAAGGGAGCCTCAATAGAAAAAATGACCCCCATGAGATCCAGCTGTAAGGCATTTTATCAATTCGTGATCAGTGGGGGAGGACCCAGCCCATGGTGGGTGGTGCCATCTCTTGGCTTGTGATTCCGTGTCCTATAAGAAAGCAGGCTGAGCAAGCCAGGGGAAGCAAGTCAGTAAGCAGCATCCTTCCATGGCCTCTGCTCCTGTCTCCAGGTTCCTGCCCTGCCTGAGTTCCTGTCCTGCCTTCCTTCAGTGATGGACTAGGATGTAGAAACACAAGCCAAATAAACCCTTCCCTCTGCGAGTTGCTTTTGGTCATGGTGTTTCATCACAGCCATAGTGACCCTGGGACAGCTGGTGACATGGCTCAGTCAGTCCAGCGCTGGCCCAGCATGCACAAGATGCCCAGCACCACAAAATCCCCTCCTGGAGGCACGTGTTTGTAATCCCAGCACTCAGTGGTAGCAGCAAAAGGATGGAAAGTTCAGTCATCCTCTGACCACACAGCAAGGCCAGGTCAGCCTGGGTCCATGAGACCCTGTCTCAAAGAGAAAAAAAAAATTGTAAAAATGAGCCTGTATACTGAGGGTTTCCTTTTTAAGACTCGTGGATGCTTTGAAAGTCCAACAGAAATACTGAAGACTCTCCACTAACCTATATACCCACTTTCTGGGTACACCATGTGAAGGTGAATTGCTGTGGTTGGCGTAAGAAAAAGAACTGAACAGGCAATAGCTAGGGAGGAGGTCCAGATGGGATTTCCGGGGAGAGAAGGAAGAGGGAGGGAAATTTATGAGGGCAGGACTACCAGACAGAGAGGAAACAGGAGGTACAAGATGAAAAAGAGGTAATGCCGTGTGGCAGAACGCAGATAATAGAAACGGGTTAATTGAAGTTATAAGAGCTAGTTGGGAACAAGCCTAAGCTAAAGGTCAAGCTTTCATAATTAATAAGAAGTCTCTGTGTTGTTAGTTGTATGCTGGCTGCCAAAAGAAAAATCTGCCTACATTATACTTTATATATTATTGATTTTTTTTGCTAATTTTTAAAATGTGTATTTTAAATTCTTCAAAAGTTTCATGTTTGCATGCAAGGCATTTGGTCATCAGGCCTATTCCTCTCCCAAGCCTTCTCAGGTCCCCCACCATCCTCTAGTCTGTACCCCGCATTCATTTCTTTCTTTTTATTTTTTGAGATACTATAATTACACAGTTTCTCTTTCCTTTTCCTCCCTCCAAACCCTGCCATATACCTTTACTTCCTTTCCTCCAAGTTCACGGCCTTTTTTTCATTACTTGCTAATACATGTATGTATAGACATATATATTCCTAAATATAACCTGCTCAGTCTGTATAATGTTTCTTGTATGTATATTTTCAGGGCTATTTGGTATTGGGTAACCAACCGACTTGCTCTTTCTGGGGAAGAATATTTCTCCCACTCTCAACATTCCTTGGTTTACTGTAGTTTGGTTTAGAGGCGGAGTTGTTTGTTTTGTTTTGTTTTGTTTGTTTTGATGGTTTTTTTTTTTTCTGAGACAGGGTTTCTCTGTAGCCTTTGGAGCCTGTCCTGGAACTAGCTCTTGTAGACCAGGCTGGCCTCAAACTCACAGAGATCCGCCTGCCTCCCTCCCGAGTGCTGGGATTGAAGGCGTGAGCCGCCACACCCGGCAAGGATTCCCCTTTTCAAACATCAACACCAGCACAGCAGTTGCTTAATATAAAATATTCAGTCTGTGACTCCAGGTATCCAAAACCAAATGAGTCTGCTACAAACAGCTTTCTACAACAGCTTCAGTTTTTAGAAAGTAGGTTAAAACAAGTTCCACATATTTGACTAATTAGCATGTCTCTTTATTGTTACTGCTTTTATTTTGAAGAGTGAAGAATTGGTTATATAGCAAGAAAACAAGCATCTGGGGGTGAAGCCAGAGCCAGAGGCTGCCATGAAGCCTCTGAGATCAGCAAGACACTGTCTTTGCAAGGAGATAACTCCTTGGCAAGCGCCTTTCCTTGACTGATAAGGACCTGAGAATTGCAGTTCCCAGTAAACTTTTCCACCAGCTAGAGGACAGCTGAGAGTCACTCAGCTTTCCAAACAAAGGCTTGGTGGGGAACGGGAACCGAGGAAACAAGAATTCAGCTGCAGATGCGAAAGTCCGGGATTATTCTCCTAAGTGAGGAGTTTACAAACAGGAAGCTAAGAAAGAAAAAGCTAAGAAAAAAGTCTGCATTTGAAGTTGTAATAACATTTGGATCGAAATGTAGGCATTTTCAAAACTTTCATCTTAATTTTAAGCCTTTCTCACATGTGTCTTTGTTATATTTTATGGTTTGCCATGCTAAGGGCTGAATCTGGGTTTAAATATAAACTAAAAACATGCTCTACCACGGAAGTATATGTCCAGACCATCTCTTCATCTTTCTGTTCTTTTTGGGGACAAGGTCTTCCTAAGTTGCTTAGGTTGGCCTTGAACTTGCTGTGCCTTGAATTTCTGCTCCTCCTGCCTAGTCCTCCAGAGTAGGCGGGGTTAAAGCAGTGGTTCTTAAACTTTCTAATGCTGCACCCCCAACCATAGAATTGTTTTCATTACTACATCATAACTGTATTCTTGTTACCGTTATGAATCGTTAGTGTGATAGTGTGACCCTGTGAAAGGAATGTTCGACCTCCTCTCCAAGGGGTCTCAGCCCACAAGTTGAGACCTGCTGGTTTAAAGATGAAGGCCTTGGTGGCCTTTACTCATCAGTACCTCTGTCAAAGAAACCACGTGAGAGCAAACGAAACTGTAATCTAGATTTCCACTTCCATTTCCCACCTGAAGTCCCCCTCTTCTGATCTCCACTGAGTTCCTTTTTCATTTTAAAAGGAAAAGAAACTCTGCATCACAATGAAACATGCATGAACTAAAAGTTACGGTGTAAAAGACACAGCAGGACGTGCTCACAGAAACCAGGCAGGCATGGCAGAGACCTGCCCAGGGTTCCACATTCTGTAAAACAGGGAATAAATAATAAACCTGCTGGAGGTGGCAGAACAGGCCTACAGTCCCAGAACCCCTGAGCCTGAGATGGGGACCCTGTTCCAGGTCAGCTGAGCTACAGAGTGAGCTGGAGGCCGGCCTAGGTTTATAGACCGAAACCCTGACTGCGAGAACAAAAGCAAAACAAAAATAACAAAGCCCCAACAGCTGTCCCGTAGGGCTGGCTGCTGCTGGGATCACCGCTGAGATCCTGCCACGCACCCACGAGGAAGAAGTGTTATCATCTTCAGTAGAAAGACATTGTAAGGACCCGTTTCATGATCACAGTTTCATCATGAGAAAGAATTCAGTTTAAATGCTGGGATCCAGGACGAGGCAGAACCCCGGGGATCATGTTCCAAGAAGGCTCTGCTGCCTTCGTCAACACTCCATGAGAAAAGACACTCGACAGCCAACGTTAAGCCATTTCCCTCTCCGGAGGTTCAGAAAAATTGGAAATAAGGTATGAAATGGCACCGAGGGTGCTAAGTTCCAGGTAACACAATACTGTGGTCAACGAACTAAACAGACATTAATCTGAAACCGGACTCCAGTCCCCTGAACTGACCGGTATAGCTCAGTCCTCACTGGTTCTGCAGAAACCAAACAGCCTGTCTATCTCGGCTGTGATCCGAGCGGATAGGATCTAAACCTTGAACGGTGCCTAAGCCCATTTCAGATGCGTTAAGGCTGGTTAAACGATCCTGATCCTAAACTGGGAGCTTTGCGCTGGGCGCCCTGACCCAGAAGAGTGGACCAGGGCAGATGCAGCCCTGGCATTGAAGCTGATCTTTTCCTATTCCCATTTTAGTCAGACCAGCCTCCTTTTCTGATGGAAAACGTTCTCGCAAACGCTATTCTCTCAAATAATTGCAAATAAATTAATAAGAATGCATAAGAACTAAAGGACTGTTCAATTTAAATAAAATTTATAACAGTATTTAAGACCCCTTCCATCCAAGGTTAAACTCCAAGCCTTTACCAAACACTTCAATACTCTTCTAGCCTTTGGATAGGGGAAGAAGGAGAGACTTGGGAGAACTCTCCAATAAAAGTCCCACTGCAGGAAAACAACATCTCAGGCCTGGCCTGTCGGTCCAGGGAGACGGGAGCTAGTGGACTCAAGAGTTCAAGGTCAGGGGGCTGGAGAGATGGCTCAGTGGTTAAGAGCATTGCCTGCTCTTCCAAAGGTCCTGAGTTCAATTCCCGGCAACCACATGGTGGCTCACAACCATCTGTAATGAGGTCTGGTGCCGTCTTCTGGCTTGCAGACATACACACGGACAGAATCTTGTATACATAATAAATAAATAAATAAATAAATATTTTAAAAAAAAAAAAAAAGAGTTCAAGGTCAGCCAGGTGGTGGTGGCACACACCTTTGGTCCCAGCACACGGGAGGCAGAGGCAGGTGGGTCTCTGTGAGTTTGAGGCCAGCCTGGTCTACAAGAGCTAGTTCCAGGACAGGCTCCAAAGCTACAGAGAAAAACCCTGTCTCCAAAAACAAAACAAAACAGAAAAAGAGTTCCAGGTTATCTTGAGCAGCACAGTAAGACTCCTTCTCAAAGTAACAATTAAAATGCCTCGTTGATAACGCGTGTTTCTTCAAATTCTTTGCAGCTTCAAAGCCCTTCCGGAAGCACAACCCTGTGCAAAACGCAACAAATCATACTCTCCCCATTCGAAAGACGAGAACAGCTGAGGTTCAAAGACACCCCCAACGTGTAGTCATTGGTCCTTACAAGTTCGGAAGGCAAGCTTTTCTTTTTAACCAAGTCTAGTGCCTGGAAGCTGGAACAAGGCGTCCCCTGCTCATACTCTTCCGGTATCTGTTGAACGTTCCCCCTTCAGCCCTTTGGTTCCAGACATCTTCCCCGTTTCTCTTTTCTCAACTCCAGCCCATGCTTCAACTCCCCTAACTAATGAATGAGATAGGGGGCAGAGGAGAGCTATTAGTCAGTGGCTAAGAGCACTCGCTGCTCTTGCAGAAGAGCCACGTTCAGATCTCAGCTCTCACCAGGTGGCTCACAACCACCCTTAACTCCAGTTTCAGGGAAATCTGACGTCCTCGTCTGTCCTCGCAGATGGTGCCGGTATGTAAATGCAAACCTAACAAGTAGGCAAAACATCCATACTCATAAAATAAAATAAACCTTAAAAAGTAAAATAAAAGGGACTTAAGTAAATCTGCATTTAGCTCCGGTATTCTATTTATTGAGCATCAACCAGGAGCCAGATCTATGAAGGATCGAAGCTGAGAGAAACTGAATCTTCAACGATTTGAAAACATCACATAGAAGCCAGGCATGTGGGAACATGCCTCTGATCCGGCACGTGAGAGGTGGAGGCGTCAGAATCAGGAACGTGAGGCCAGCCTGGGCTACACGAGACCCTATTTCAAAACAACACAAAACTAAAAAGACCGCTTTATCAAGGGGAATCAATTATCTAAACACGGCACTCAGAATGCCAGTTCCTACTGGAATTCCTAGGTAAATGCGCGTGTAAATCCTGGAACTAGTTAAACTTCAAGCAACTTCAGTAAGAACAGCTTGGAAAATGCCTCTGTACAGACTTGATTTCTAATTGTGGTGAAGCTTCATTCATTCCTTAAACCACTTATTCAACATTAACTCATTCTCCAAACTTGTATCTGCTAGGCTCTGGGAGTAAGGCAGGCCCAGCAGTCTTCAATCAAAGGAGTGCCCTAGTTCACCAAGACAGTCCCGCACTCAGCCCGTCTCAAAGCCCTCAGCCTGGGGCGAGAGCTTCCGGTCTCCTCCACAGCCACATTGGCCTTCTTTCATTTCTTAGAGCTCTGTCCCCTTCCTCCCTCCCTCCCTGACCTTTGCATAAACCCCAATTCTCTTCTAGAGAGTTCAGCTCTTTGTTCTTTGCGCGTCTCCTCCTCCCCTTGCGGGCCCGGCTCTTGTCCTGCAGCCTGGAGAAGCAAGCTTGCTTCTTTCCTCTCGGGTAATAGATCTTTGAAGCCCACTCCTCCTCCGACGGCATCACCTCTGCGTTTTTATATGTCCTCCTGTGATTGGTCACTATTTCTCTGTTTTTAGGTTCTTATTCTCCTGGAGGGGCAGGGTCTGACCGGTTTTGTTAGATGCCAGAGCCTGGCACACCGGAGGCCTTCCAGGAATGAAAAACAAACGGATGTGGCTGTCTAAACAGTTCTGTGGGAAGCTGAGCGCTAGTGGGTTCGGGGGAGTTGGGTTTTGACCAGTCTTGCCTTCGGGTCCAAGTGTATGGGGTGGGGGTGACCTTGAATTCCTAATTCTCCTGTTTTGGCCTCCCAAGTGCTGGGATTACATACTTGGGATTCCACACCTGATTTGGATTAGGGGTTTTCTTGAATTCCAGTGATGTCAGGCCTCCTACCTTCTATCTCAACCCTTCGATGACACTGAAATATGGGGAGTTCTTCCAAGTGCTTAAGATTGTAAGCTTCCAAACACCCAAAATCCCTCGGATCTCCTTAGAATGAGATACACACAGAAAAGTAACAGCCGTAGCTAGTATTCACGAAAGCGATCTGGAGGGTGAGCCGAAGTCGGGGAGGAGGGGATGCTACGGCACGGACAACTGTCTGTAGTGCAGATCATTTCAAAGCGACTGCTGACGACTCAAGAGGATGAACTGCATCCTCATTGAGAAAAAGGAAAGGGAGGGGGAGGGGGAAGGAGAGAGAGAACTCAATGAACTTAACCTTTCTAGCCTGTCCTGGCCGCGCTAACCGCGAAGCTTCCGCAGTCCCTGCAAAGGCTCCGGGCACCTCGGGAGCCCCTGTCCAGGACACAGTACTGGGGTCCGTCCCTACGGGGAACCCCACCGGACGACTGCCACGGAGAACAAGCAGGTCTCGGCTCGCTTCCCTTCCCTGGCCTGACACAAAGCGCGTTCCCCTTCCACGCCCGCGCGCCCGGCAGCGCTGGTAGAGCTCTAGACCGAGGCCGCGTGCCCCGCCCCGGGCGGGCAGAAGCCATCACCCGCCCCCCC